AACATCCTCATTTTGTGCCAGATGTCATAAGGCATAATAAAGGATCCTGAAACTGGAGTTTACAATATAGAACATAGCTGAAGCACTGCATCTGTGTTGTAGTGCTGTCTTCCTAGGGGAAACATCTCTAGAGTAAGCCAGGAAGCCCTCAAAGCAATGACGGAATTTGGGTTGAAATTAAGAAGTTCACTATGGCTATGTACATAAATTTGTTTGAATGCTGTTTAAAAATATCTCCAAAAAAGTCAAGAAACCTAGATCAAATCCTTGCTCTTCCACTAATTAACTTGTAATTGAGAGGCAACAATTAGATATTTCTAAGTTTCGTTTTCTTCATTTGTAAATAGCCAACTGTCCATTAAGTGAAAGGGGCTGGCCCACGGAGGCACTCAATACATGTTTGCTTTCAACATGCTTTCAAATAACCACTCACCCACCTACTAACACAAAGGCTCCAAGCTCACAGACCTGGTAAATCTACCTAGAAGACAGTTATTGCCATCATATTTGTGGTAAAATGGCTTTTTACAACATCTATATGTTGGGTTTTAAAAAAATCTACCTGAAAGAAAAATCATTTTAAGCCTTGTTTAAGAAAAAAGAAGCCAAACTAAATAAATCCTGAACAGGCAAGTCTTACAATGTATATATTCTCCAAGTTTGTTTTCTGTAAGTCAGATGTTTAGAAGTAGCAACATACTTTCCCATACAAACAAGGTTTAACATTCCCAAGCCAGCTTGTTTAATTATAGCCAAAATATATACCTAATTTGTGTTATATGACCATCACCATCTAGAACAAAGAATTCACCGGAATATATATTCAGAGTTCCAGCTTAGAATGATCCTTGGGATATATCTCTTCCTACTAAAATCCCAGTAGCTAGAACATAGGGACTTCCTTTCACGAGCCATGACTCTAATCTTCTCACCTACGAGGATATAGAGCTAGAACATTGCCTGCTCTTCTGTACCCATGCCACCTCCGAACTCCAAACTCCAGTAATATGTTCAGATAATCCCTTAGGACAAGGATGGAAATAGGGGTGGCACGGAAGGGAGAGGAAAGAAACTTAGGCTTGTCTGAAGGGTGATTTAAAAGTAGGCAGGCACTGGGGTGTGACTTGGAAATGAGGAGGGTTTCTTTCTTCTCTCCCTCTGTTATTTATTTATTTATTTATTTTTGTGAGGAAGATCAGCCCTGAGCTAACATCCATGTCAATCCTCTTTTTTTGCTGAGGAAGACCGGCCCTGAGCTAACATCTATTGCCAATCCTCCTCCTTTTTTTCCCTTTTTCTCCCCAAAGCCGCAGTAGATAGTTGTATGTCATAGTTGCACATCCCTCTAGTTGCTGAATGTGAGATGCCACCCCAGCATGGCCAGACAAGCAGTGCGTCGGTGTGCGCCCGGGATCCGAACCCAGGACACCAGCAGCAGAGTGTGCGCACTTAACCGCTAAGCCACAGGGCCAGCCCCCTCTTTTATATACTTACTACCACTGAAAAACCAAAGTAGAGTGAGGGCCAAGGACTAGATGGGGAAAGCAGGGTTTAACAACTGGAAGCTTTTCTACAGTGGCAACTGGATCAAATTTTCCTTTCCCCTACTACTTCTCACTGCTGTACTAGTATTACAAATAAGGAAGATGACATTCAGTCCTTCAACTAGACTGTGAGTTCTTTAAGGACAGATATCATCACCTGCCCAACTTTGTACACTTGGTGGCTGAAAATTTGGCACACAGTAGGTGGTCAACATATGTGTTGAATGAATCAATAAATATAACTGTAGTGGATGCTGTGATTCATCATCCAGAACCCCCTTTATAACTGAAGGACTTATTTTCCTAGCTGTTGGGAGTATTGCTGGCAGACAGCCCTTAGCTATCAGCCCTCTTGGGGTATTGTCTAGGGTGAAGAGAGCCATCTTGGGCCAAGATCATACTCCTTGCTGGGGCAGCTTGCATCTCATGATTGGGGATACAGGCATACCTTAGAGATATCGCGGGTTTGGTTCCAGACCACTGCACTAAAGCGAATATCGCAATAAAGCAAGTCACAGAAATTTTTTGGTTTCCCAGGGCATATAAAAGTTATGTTTATACTATATGGTAATCTATTAAGTGTACAATAACATTATGTCTAAAAAAACAATGTACATACCTTAATTGAAAAATATTTTATTGCTAAAAAATGCTAACCATCATCTGAGCCTTCAGTGAGTTGTGACTTTTTTGCTGGTGGAGGGTCTTGTAAAAAATGTAATATCTGGCGGGGCCAGCCCCGTGGCATAGCAGTTAAGTGCATGCGCTCCACTGCTGGCGGCCCAGGTTCAGATCCCGGACGCGCACCGATGCACCACTTGTCAGGCCACGCTGTGGCAGCGTCCCATATAAAGTAGTGGAAGATGGGCATGGATGTTAGCCCACGGCTAGTCTTCCTCAGCAAAAAGAGGAGGATTGGCATGGATGTTAGCTCAGGGCTGATCTTCCTCACAAAAAAAAAAAATGTAATATCTGGGGCCGGCCTGGTGGTGTAGTGGTAAGTTCGTGTGCTTTGCTTTGGCGGCCCAGGGTTCATGGGTTCGGATACCAGGCGTGGACCTGTGCACGACTTATCAAGCCATGCTGTGGCGGTGTCCCATATAAAGTAGAGGAAGATGGGCATGGATGTTAGCCCAGGGCCAATCTTCCTCAGCAAAAAGAGGAGGATTGGCAACAGATGTTAGCTCAGCGCTAATCTTCCTCACACACACAAAAAAGTAATATCTGCAAAGCGCAATAAAACGTGGTATGCCTGTTTAAAGATCCAGCTCCCCTCATCCCAACTTGAGACAATTCTAAGGACCATCCTAGCTTCAGGGCTCCTCCTTGATGTTGTTGAGGCTGCATTACAGTCCAACTTCTCCCATGGAAATTGGGCTTCCTTCGTTTATATGGCATCGGTCCCAAGAGGCTTCACTAGTAAACTTGCTGCACTCTAATTTCCATCTCAGAGTTTGCTTTCAAGAAACCCAACTTGAGACAACAGTCCAAAAGAAGATCTAGGTCTGACCCCGATTTAAACCAACCAAGGAAAGGTATTTGACTTCATATTAACGGTCAGTAAATATAAAGGAGTTTAGAAAGGCTAAGGAATGAACTCTTTTTATCTCTAGCAATTTGTTTCCACTTCAGCTACTTTAAATAATCAGGAGACCTACAGTATTTTGAGGACTACCTCAAAAAAAGTACATCTGTTTTACTGTCATGTAAGCTATTAATGACAAACCATACCAAATTCAATACTTGTCTAACTTGAAAGCAGAAAAAAAATTAATGAATTTAGTGTAAACATGGTATAAGGCACTGCAAAGAGAGCTGTTTTTATTGTGGGTGTTAATCAAGCTGACTTTATAGGAATTGCTTTTCCACTAAAAGCTACTCAACATATTAAATACAGTACTTTTAACTGCAATTAACCGTTAGAAATTCAATGCTTACATAAAAATCACTATTAAAATATGAAAAGTTGCAAATTACCAGAACTATTCAAGGCACAGCTGAGTAAAAAATAAATAAATGAATAAGTAACAAAACTTTTTGCTTTATCTGGATACAGCTCCATTGGAATCAAGCTATTTTGGGCTCAAATAATACCTTAATGTTGCAAGAATGGTTGATAAGGTTTAACTGTTAAATTGAGGCTCAAGAATTACTTTAAGCATATAAGTATTCATTTTTTTAGATTATTTTTTTTTTTAACTGTAAGACTACTTGCCAGTTTGCTACACAGCATGGCTAGCACTAGCCATACTTTCTAATACCACCTAATAATTCATGCTCACTACTAAAATCTGGAGGTTTTGCCAAAGTGTATAGATACCAATATTCAGCTTTCCTATAGAAGTTAAATAAATGGTCTATATATGGAAAACGTTTCAGTCTACACTTCCAGGAAAATGGTCCAAAAGGCATTTAGCAGATGTGTATATTTTTATTTTTACTGCGCTTCTTGCCAGAATAAGCGACTCTTAATTCTATCTGTATATATTTCAGAAAACATACCTGGACTTGAATCATCTCCTATGTGGAAATTTAAGAAGCATGCTGAATGACACTGAATACGAGCACGCCCTTTGCCATATTACTTCACCGTTATGCTCTTCTTTTCTTTCAATAACACAAAAGTTAACTAAGGAATATTACTTGTCTGCAGAGACATGTTTTGAAAGTCACAAGATGATATTTAATCAAAGAAAACTGAAAATGGCAGGGTACTGAGGACCTGGTGCCAATACTAATATACATAAAGCATTTTAACCAAAATTACTATCACTGAGTTGCTATAATTTGATTCTACAAATGTTTCACTAATTTATTTAATCCTTAGCTTCCCTATCATAAAAGCAACCACTCAGAACCCATCTTTATTTTTAACACCATTTTTATTTCATTGTGCTTTCCTCTGAATATCTCCCGCACATATTTTCTTATTTGTTTCCTTTTATAAGGAAATGCATTAAAAGTAAGAATTAGGGGCCGGCTGGTGGCGCAAGTGGTTAAGTGCGCGCACTCCACTGCAGCCGGGGGGTTTGCCGGTTCGGATCCCAGGTGCGCACTGACGCACCGCTTGTCAAGCCATGCTGTGGCGGCGTCCCATATAAAGTGGAGGAAGATGGGCACGGGTGTTAGCCCAGGGCCAGTCTTCCTCAGCCAAAAAAAAGAGGAGGATTGGCAGATGTTAGCTCAGGGCTGATATTCCTCACAAAAAAAAAAAAAAAATTATTATTAGTTTCATATATAACAGTATAATATTCAATTTCTTGCCAAAATAAAATTAAATAGCTTTGAGTTATTTTATTTTATGGGTTTTTTAAAAGATGGTTAGTCTGCCATTAATTATTTAGACAACCAGCTTCATGATGGCAGATCCTTCTTCAACTACAGAGAAACAGAGTCATCTCTTAAAATTTACATTATGTGGAAAGTCTGAGATGTATCAGGTCTTTTTCATCTTACCATGAACACTTCCTAACGTAATATCCCCAGCAGCAGAAGATAGAAATGATGATTCTGTATAAAGATACTTGGCTTTCAGCAAACCATCTTCAGTAGATATATTAATAGAACTTCCCTGAAGTTTATCTATGGTCACAATCTAGTAAGAGAAAGACTCAAATCAGTTCATTATAAAACAAAGACTGGTAAAAAGCCAGAATGGTATCTACAGAATTAGTGGGTGACTACATAAAAAGTTACTACCCAGTACACAATCACTTTATTGACTTTGATTCCCTAGCTTTAATTACAAGATTGTGAACAACAGTGTATTCTCTGGAATGTGAAATAGACCTACTATATTCCCTCATTTATTTAGATCTTTAATTTCTCTTAATAATGTTTTATATTTTCTAAGTATTGTTCCTCTTCATCTTTTGTTAAATTTATTCCTATCTGATATTTTCTAAATGCTATTATTAAAGATATCTTTTTTTAACTTCATTTTATCTTAATTGGTCTTTGTATTTGACCTTAAATCCAACAACTTCACTAAACTCACTTACTAATTCCAATAATTTACCTGAATTTAAAAAATTTTTCTACATGCATAATTATATTGTCTACAAGTGATAGTTTCATTTCTTCCCTTCCAATCCTTATATTAATATTGTTTTTCCTGTTCTTTTCTGCCTTACTATCTGGCTCAGGCCTCCAATTCAACGGTAAATAGAAGCATTGGTAAGCATCCTTATCTTATTCCTGTTCTCAGCGGGAAAGCTGACAACATCTCATCGAGTATGATACTTCCTATAGATATCTTTTAGACCCCTTTTATAAGATTTAGGAGGTTCCCTTCTATTTCAAATTTGTTTTGTTGTTGTTGTTTAAATTATGAATGGTTTTTGAACTTTAGCACATACTTTATCTGATTTTGGTGACTATTATTTGATTTTTCTCCTTTCGTCTGTTAATATAGTGAGTACACTATTATTTCTAGAACTTTTCCACTTTACATGTAATAAGGCAATAGCTTTCCATTGAACAAAATGGAAGGAATTTACTATTTATCCCTAAGCTTCCTTAATGAAATTTAGTATGTATTTATGTCTCAAATACTGAGCACAATGTATAATGAAGACATCTAGTTTAGGATTCCAAATCATCTTTTATAGTATTTTAAACAAATGTTTTATAAGCATAAAGTGAGTGTTAATATAAAACTGTTGACATAAAAACTGAATCACCAGGAAGGCTTGCCACAGTTTTGCCCAGGGTCAAATTCAACTATTACACTGGGGTGTTTAAAGAAAGAGCATCATTGTTTTGAAATACATTGGCATCAGTGTCATCCACTCCTAATATGTCCTTCAAAAACTGTTGAGAGTTCAAAATGTTATTTAATAAGAATTGAGTTTCAAGAACACTAAAATATTAGAAGACTAATAAAAGTACAAAAAGAGAAAGGAAAGAAAAGAAAAGAGGTTCTTACGGAAAGCCCCAGCAAATCAAGTGAAAGTACAACACCTCCCCCACCACAATAATATAGTTATTTTAACCAATCATTCCATAAAATTAATTTCAAAGAAATCCAAGTCACTGAGGGCCACACTATAATGCACTATATCAGATACTAACTAGAACAACTAAACTTAGAACAACTGACTTAAACTTAGCAAAATACTGAGGCTCTAATTTATAGTTATTAATGCTAATGGAAGAGTCATAAATAGCTTCTTTGGATTAAACTGTATAGTTTGCTTATTAATAGATTTGGTCATTTTAAGAAAGAACAAAAAGTAGATCCCAAAATCAATACCTTCCTGACAGAGATATTGCTATGAATTAATTTTCTTTTCTACACAAGAAGGAAAACTTTTCATAAGTTTAGTTATTGTAAATCAACATTACATATAATGAAAACCAAGTTTTAAGGAAGCACTGTGGCTTTGTAGCTCAAACTAAGAAAGAGGTCAGCTAACAACTATGTCATCAATTAATCCAACAATCAGATGAAATGGATTTCTGTCTTCTCTGTTCCAAATTTAGGATACTGAAATTAATGATACAATTTAAAAAGAGCCACTCCATATAAAATGACATGTAAAGAATGCTGTTATGTGTTTATAGTGCTCTTCAATTCTCACAATTTTGTTGAGTAGGAAAAACAAGTAATACCATCCCTGTTTTATGAATAATGAAATGGAGTCTCAGTAAAGTTAACTGGTAGATCTAGGACTGGTCAAGTTATCTTTCCTGTGTTTCATTTACCTTTATCATCATCATTATAGTAAACACTATATTAGAGCTAGCTATGTGTCAGACATTGTTTCAAGTACTTTATCTGTATTAACTAATTTAATCCTTATAACAACTCTCTAAGTTAAGTCCATTACTATTATTTCATTTTCCAGAAAACCAAGGCATATAGAGGTTAAGTAACTTTTCTGAAGTTAAAGAGCTTAGTAAGTGGCTAAGCCAGGATTAAAACCCAAGTAGTTTAGTTCTCAATTCCGTGCTCTTAACCAATTCATTATACTGCCTCTCAAATATCCAAAGCACACTTCTATGAAAATTGTATATTAAAAGTTAACATATTTCACAAGCATTTATTTTACATAAAAGAATACTAAGAAATATGCTTTAAAAATTAACGCTATATATAATATAAATAGAAAGAAATATTTAGACTGATTCTTCAGCACAATATAAAATTCAATCAGACAAGAAACAAAATAGTATAATAGAAAGTAGAAATAAATGAATATTTAATAAACCATGAAAGTTGGAACAAATAAATAACTAATGAGTGGAGACAGTGGCCAAAACATTCGAAATAGCAAATAATTAAGATATGATATAGATTCTTCTCTGATACTTATATTTGAATGTAAATATGTAATATTCTGGTAACTTAGATAATTTCAAATAACATAAGCCATCATTTAAAGGACAGAGTTTGAAGGAGCTGCAAAGTTTTCCTATTTTCCTTTTGCACCTCCAAGATCACAGCAATTTGAGAGGTAAAACTAAATGTCATCTCAAAAGAGCTGTCACATAAGGCCAGGGGGTGTTTCACTACTTTCCTAGTTTAATTTAAAGGATAAATTTAAATGTTTGGGTTTAAACAGTCTCCCACAGGTTCTAAGAGAAAGGTGAAGGAAAATAAAAGTGACAACAGTAGAAATAATTACTGTTATAATCTACTTTGTTTAATTATGCCAACAATAATCTACCTACAAGATACCCTTATAATTCCTCCCTACCAATTATCTGAGAATAAAGCTGAGTATGGAATTTAACAAATTTATAATAAAAGATCCTTGCAAATTGTATAAGAGTAATATAAAAGGTGACTCAGATCTTTCTCAAAGATTTAAAACATTATTGATCATATTTTAAAAATTATGACAATTTATACTTCAAAATCATATCTTTACTCTTAATACCATGCTAAATCACAGAAAGCAACAAAAGTTGATTAAAAAATACAAACAGGGGCTGGCCCCAGGACGTAGTGGTTAAGTTCCTACGCTCCGCTTTAGCAGCCCGGGGTTTGCAGGTTTGGATCCCAGACACGGACCTACACACTGCTTGTCAAGCCATGCTGTGTTGGCGTCCCACATATAAAAAATAGAGGAAGACTGACACAGATATTAGCTCAGTGACTATCTTCCTCAAGCAAAAAGAGAAGGATTGGCAGCAGATATTAGCTCAGGGCCAATCTTCCTCACCAAAATTACAAACTATCTTCTTGGGCCAGCCCCGGTGGCCTAGTGGTTAATTTCGGCGCACTCTGCATCGGCAGCCCAGGTTCAGTTCAGTTCCCGGGCATGGACCTACACCACTTGTCTCAGTGCCCGTGCTGTGGCGGCGGCCCACATACAAAATAGAGGAAGACAAGCAACATATATTAGCTCAGGGAGAATCTTCCTCAGCAAAAAAAAAACAGAGACAAAAACTATCTTCTTAACCAAAATCCCTATGGCTAACAAAAGCTTTTGGAGAATAGTAATGCTATATAATGGTGCCCTCTTGTGGAAAATACTGAAGAAAGTTGAGTTTTGAAACGTCCTTTAATTGCCTACAGGCAAAGTAAGCAGGTATTGGAAAAATATTCAAATAAACCTAACATATAAGAAAAATTTAAGCCTGATACTGGTGATATTACTTAATGACCAATTTTAATTTATGGTCACAAAAATAAAAATCTCTTCAGAACTAGAATTAAATATTAAGTATTTAAAGTTGTTATTGATTCCAAATAAGAAATTAAATAACTGTCAAAAGTATTAAATCACAAATTAAAATTTAAATTGTATAATATTTAATCACTTCAATTTCAAATTTGAATTTACTCAAGAACTAAAATGCATGAAAAAGGAAACGTTATGCCACAAATTTTGTAGAACCTACCCACTGTGTTAGCCAACTTGATGCAAAATTGCAATTACTAAAAAAAAGAAAGTTTCAACCTTACACTTTTATCTGATGCATGAATGTTTATATTTCCATAAACTGTTCCCAGACAGATCACTTTGCCTCCTTTTGTTTGAACACGTAATTTTTGACTCTGAAAGACAAATACAAAAATAAATATAGAGAGAATAAATTTGACTTATAGTAATAAAAAAATTTCCAACATTTTGTACATTTGTTTTTAAATAATAATAAAGCAGCAAAAGAGGAACCCAGACTGAAATAGAAATGTTCTGTTTGGAATAATAACCTCAACCAGAAAAGAATGTCAACTGCTGTTACAGGGATTAACTAAGTTATCTGGACTCAAAGGGAGAAAGAAGAGATACCTAGGTGTTCCAGTAGCTTCACTGAAGATGGGCTTGGGAATCAAAGATCACTGAGACTGGCCAACTAAACATAAATGATGATGAAGATGACAACTATAATCACTGTTATTGTTCATCATTATTAATAATAATAGTCACCACTTACTTGGCATTTTCTTTGCACCAAATACGATACTCACTACTTTACGTGAACTATCATTGAATCCTCACAACTCAGAGAGATGGGCATTATATTTTTCCCATTTCACAGAGGAAGAAATCCAAGAATCAGAAACGTTAAATAACTTTATCAGGTGACACAGTTAGAAAACAACAAAATCTAAACTAACAGGATCAAGATCTGTATGATTTCAAAACCCACACTCTTATGGCTGAAGTCATCTGAAGGATATATTCACACTTAGGGTAACAGCCCAGTGACTGCTTAACTTTCTAGCACAACACATCCCAGAAACTGGAACTAAGTGAAATGCCCCTAAAGCACAAATAAAACAGTAGTCACAGTCAGCTTCCTCTGCCAGACAAAAGATATGTGTGTGTAACTTGATTTCATACTGGCAATGGTGGCAGAAACTACTATAGGTCCACCAAAATCCATTTTTTTCCCCAAAGAAAAAGGAGTATAGCTGGGCCCATGAAGAGACGATATTTTTCAGCTTCCCTTACCTCTTAGGTGTTGCTAAGTTCTTGCTAATAGAATGTAAGTGGAAATGCTATGTGCAATTTCCAGGCTGGTGCTTTTAGAAGAGTTGGTATGCCTTCTCTGTGCTCTGCCCCTTCCACCAAATGAGTGCAGATTACAATAAGGCTCTAAGAGATGGCAGAGCCAGAAAATGGAAGGAACCTAGAATCACTGAATAGAAAAGAGCCATCCACACACTTGAACACAAGTGAGAAATAAACTACAGTTGTATATGAGCCATTAGATGTTTGGTCTATTTTTTAGAGTAGCTTACTTTACCTTAACCATTTACATATGTCTTCAATTCTGCCACAATTATAAAGAGAAAAAGAATAGGTAAACAGCAGAGGAAGAACAACAGCAAAACCAAACTCACCAAAATCATGACCAGCAACAGCAGAGAAGTGTCTAAAATGTAGGGACAAAAAAATTCAAAACAACCATATACCTTCTGGTTGCTTTACTAAGGGGTCACAGTAAAACCTTAGGTAATATAGCCCAGGAGGCCGGCCCCGTGGCTTGGTGGTTAAGTGAGCGCGCTCCACTGCTGGCGACC